AGTGCAGGGAGGAACCAGGCAGGAGGGACTTGTAATCCTGCGAGGCTGCTGACCAGGGCTTTCGCTACCAGGACACTGACAGGGCTGAGGCAGGGCCTTGGGACCTGGCTGTGGGGTCCGATGGAGGGGGTGGGGCCCCCACATTGCCTCTGCTAGCTCCATTACATTGCATATGCCACCTCTGCGAGCATGTGCCTGCTGCAAGCCAAAAGGAAATAAAGCCCTGATTCTGACATTCAGCTCTTGTCTTTGCTTGGGCCAGGTGGGGTAGCCAGCCTTGGGTTACCTGGTGCTATGGTCTGTCTGGGCTCTGTCTCTGTCCCTTCATCTGCTGACTGCCCCTGTGCTCCTTGGGAAGAAGAGGGCAAACCTAGGCGTGATATCAAGGGCTGTCCCAATCTTGGGGCTTGGCTGGACTCTGTACTTTTTGTTGCAATGAGATGGAAGTAGCTAGAGTGAGCTCAGAGGGCTTTCTGTTTTATATCTTCTGAGACACTGCACTCTGAGGTCACATGTGCTGTGCTCTGGGCCCCAGTGCATGGGCCCTAGCACAGAGGCCACCCCTGCTCAAAAGGGATGCAGGTGGTGTCCTTGCTGCTTCTGCTGCTGCTTTGCACAGTCTAGGTCTGGAATGTTGCTTGAAGGGGAGATCTTCTGACCCTTAAGTCCTTCCCAGGAGCTGCAGTTCTGAGCCTTTGGGAGGCCTCAGTCATCCTTCTATTGACTTGTTCAGTACACCAAGGGGCACATTTCTCCTTGTTGTTTTTTTTATTTTAATTTTTTTTTTTTAAATCTTCACCTGAGGATATTTTTTTCCATTGCTTTTTAGAGAGAGTGGAAGTGGGGGAGAGAGAGAGAGAGAGAGAAACATCGAGGTGAGAGAGAGACATCGGTTGGCTGCTGCATTGAGCCTTCAACCGAGGTATATGCCCTTGGCTGGAATCGAACCTAGGACCCTTCAGGCTGCGGGCCGATGCTCTAACCACTGAACCAAACTGGCTAGGGCTTTAATTTTTTTAAAAAAATTGAAATAACTATAAAATTTGTCCTTCAAAAGAGTTTGTTTTTTTTAAATCCTCACTTGAGAATATGTTCCTGTTGACTTTAGAGAGAGAAAAAACATCATTCAGTTGCCTGCCATACGCTTCTCGACCTGGGATTGAACTGGTAACCTAGGCATGTGTCCTGACCAGTAATCGAACTCGCAACCTTTTGGTTTGAGGTGATGCTCCAACCAACTGAGCCACCTGGCCAGGGCAAAACTCATCCTTTTTTCTCTCTTTTCTTGGTCAATAACTTTCACTTTTGAAATTCCAATAAATTACAGCTTGTGGAATGCTCAGACATATTCAGATTTCTCCAGTTGGTCTGTGCTTGTCTTTTACAACTGGCTTGTCCAGACCAGGACCCTGTCTGGCCTTCGAGTGGTACGTGGCTGTTAGGGCTCTTAGGCCTCACAGACCAGGTTCTGAGAAGCAAATTCCCAGGCTTCACCCATTGGTCTGTGGTGGGAAAGGGTCAACTAGGTGTGTGTAATTTGTGTAAGATCAATAGGCTATAGTCCGTGCTGGTGGCACCTGCCTCCAGAGAAAAGGAGGAACTTCTGTGTAGTGCCAGAGGATCTCCAGACCCCAAGATGGGGAGTAATTACCCAGGGTCTGGAGGTCCCCAGGGCACTATTCAGCATATATCCAGCCACAATTTACTAAGTCCCACTGCATTCTGGGCAGTGTCTCAGGCATTGGGAGACATTGGTGGAAAGTGGAGACCATGTCTGTCTTGAGGACAGAGAGGGGTACTTAACCACCTAGCCTTTCTGATTAAGACTGGAGAAACCGAAACTCACTTGGACTCACACCTACCCTTTCAGTATGCAGGGTCCATCATGCTGCAGGGCTAAATCTGGAGAACAGGCAGGTGTCCTTGTTCTGGAGAGGATTTCTGCCCCATTCTCCTGACCTGGGTTATCTTAAGGGCCTCAGCTAGTGCAGCCTCAGTTTACTCAATCTGTCAAGGGCATGGGGAGCCACTTTGGGATCATAAAGCTCCTTACCAGCAGGCAGACTCTGAGATGCACCCCAAGGACCCCTGCCTCCCTCTGTTCACTCCTTTGAGAGTGGCAGGTTCTATCCAACAGGATTCAGCAGAGGCAATAGAGGTGAGTTGCGCGTGTGGAAAATACAGTTTCTGAAGGAAATCATCTATTTATCAAGTACGCTAGTGAGCTTGTAGTAACCCTGAGGGTCACTGATCCATCACAGGCATCTTTCTTTGTGATATACAATGTGGTGATAACAGAGATGATCGTTATGTCTGAGAATATGTCAGATGAGCTTTTGGAGCTCTTTGAGAACTTCCGTGATCTCTCCTGTAATGCTACCCTGAACAGTGAAGTCCAGTTTCCTGCTCAGCTTCCAGCAACAATTTTCCACGGCAGATCCAGTGCCGGCTTACAGACACTGTTGTAAACACCAAGTACAGAGGGCACACGAGGCGACACGTGATGGCTGGCTCAGCTTCCCATCAGTGCCACCTTTTTTTTTTTAATTTTATATATCTTTATTGATTTCAGAGGAAAGGAGAGAGAGAGAGGTAGCAACACCGATCATCGATGATGAGAGAGTCGTCATTGATCGGCTGCCTCCTGCACGCCCCCGACTGGGGATCGAGCCCGCAACCCGGGCATGTGCCCTGACCAGGAATCGAACCGCGATCTCCTGGATCCTAGGTCGATGCTCAACCGCTGAGCCACGCCCGGCCAGGCATCAGCGCCCACTCTTACAGCAGTAGCCCCTACCTTGGTTTGTCAATCTTCAGCTACAATGACAGGTGGTGTCAGTCATAGAGCAGCCCTATCATGTTCTATGCCCAGGACTCTGGTCTGCTCAAGGTTCAGATCCAGGCAGGCTTATTGGGCCACCCCATCAACCACACTGTAGGAAACCTTTGTTGACTTGACCTTTCACCCTTTTGAGCCCTTTGCTATTTCTGTGCAGAGGACTAATGCTGAGTAAGTTGTCAACTTCCATATGTGACACTGCTGCATGTAGGTGCCTCACCAAAGCCAGGTTTTCTGGTCCTTCAAGACTTTTCCCTTTCTTATCTCATGGACTCTAAAGCAAAAGCTCCTGACTCAGATGGGGGAGCTAGAGAGAGGAGTGAAGGTGGCTCAGCCTAATGGAATTGTTTTTATCCTATACAAGAAATGGATTAATTTAAAGTCCTCATGTTTTCCCTCTGTGGGAATAGCCAGCACTAATTAAGTTAATTTACTTTTTGTTTTATTTTGCATTTTACTGCTATGAAGGTGAGAGCATTATACTTTTACCCTCTTTATATCACTTCTTTGCCACTGTGGTATGCATTATGAAGCAGGTAAATCTTGTTTACTCATGAGAACTGTGTACAACCTTTCTACTTAGCCAACAGGCAGGGCTATCTTTATGAAAAAAATAATAAATAAAGCCGTGGTATTTTCTTACTTAAAAAAAAGATGTGGATCCCTCCCCATTTGAGCCTTCTGATGGATGAAACCCAGCCCTGGCTGACAACTGGATTGCAGCCTCTGGAGAGACCTTGCAGAAGACCCAGGTAAGCCATGCCCAGATTCCTGACCTATAGAAACTGTGAGATACCATGCATGTTGTTTTAAGCCACAGTTTGTGGTGATTTGTTCTGCAGCAGCAGCTGGATAATACACTGACAAAGGCACACCACAACCGCTTGCCAATTTATTGAACTATTCAACTTCTGCTCATGTCCCCTTTCTTAGCACCTTGTCCGTTTGCTGTGCCTTCATTCCCTTTTCTTTCTGCGATTGTGCCTGGGGATGTGTGTTAGTGCCGGGCCCTCACCTTCCTTCTGTTCTGGGGAGAGTGGACCATTCAGCAAATCTGTGGAGTGAGGGCTCCCTGTTGTCTGGTTTTGCCTTATGCAAAATTGGAATGTCTTCTTGCCTCCTTCTTAAGATGGGTTGGATGCAGGAACTGTGGGATCCATGAATTTCATTCCTCTGGCTGTCAGGTGCCAGGTCAGACCTACCTGTACATTGGCTTAGGATTTGGCTGCAGTGTGTGTGTGAAGTTCTTTGGAAGGTGT